ATTCTAGCATGATGTTGGAACCTCAAGAACGAAACAACTTTGATGTAGAGTGTCCACAAACGTGGATTAGAAACCTGGCACCTGTGCAGATGGCTTTCTGGACCCTAGCCCAGGGTTTCTCTTTGGCTCATTAATCTGAAAAAGAAATATGCTTACTGTGTCAATAGAAGAGTTTGAGGAAGGCTAACAAAAGAGCAAGAAAGCAATAGCAATTCCGAGCTTGAAAAGGGAGCTGCTTTCAGCAGTCCTCCATTCTTTCTGTGGAGGAGGGCAGTACTATATAAGCAGGGAGCTTACACAGACACAAGAAGAATTTAATTGAATGTTTTCTTAAAGATAGAAACCAAAGTCCCATAGAGCCAGCATCAACCAAGCCAAATTGTCTTTGTCAGATATGCTTTCTGTCAATCAAGCACCAAGTTCCCAGTCCTGCCTACAAAATAGAATGCACCATCTTGCAGTGAAGGTATTTTCAGAGCCTTCAATTTGTGCATGAGCACACGCACGTGTATGTATGTATGTATACACATACACACACACACACACACACGCGCGCTGAATAACTTCAAAACAAGAATATATTGGAATACTTATTTAAATGACCAATGGCAAACAGGATACTAGCTGAAAGTAAGTGTCCTGTATCAAGTGAGAAAAAAATAAGCCACATTCACAATGATCAGAGGCCAAGACCCTTTTTTGTTGTTTTTGCTTTGTTTTGTCTTTAAATAGTTTTACAAAGGACTGGCCATTTAATGAAACAGTTTAAGAATACAATGTATCTTGGTCACCCCTTTCAACATTCTCACCCATCCTTCCTCCATCCACCCTTTCTCTCACTCTTCTAATTTTGTAGGATATACATTGGATTTTTGACTGTACTCCCCCCATTCTTCTCTTCATTCATCTACCTATCTTTCCTTGACCCCATTCAACCACTTTCAAGTACCTGTTTATTGGTGTTTACTTCATGAAACTATGATTTTCTTTCTAAGGAATTACATGATTTAAATTCTCCCCTGAATCTACCATATTTCAGTTAAAGCCTTGGCCTCGTCCTTCATCCTATGTTCCGGTGAGTAATCAGATCAATCTGGTATTGGAAAGGAAAAGGAAGGCTGTCAGGTGGAGAGCAAGAGCTGGCAGTTGGCTCATTGCATTTTGCAGAATAAACTTTGAAGTCTGAGAAGGAAGTCAACACATGGAAGAAATCAGAGCAGTCAAAGGTGCTTGGTATCACTGCTGTCCCTTGTTTGCACTGAAGCTGGAGGAGTTTTACTTATTCTGGGGTTGACTCTTATCAGCTTGTGACACTGCTTTCTGGGTGTCTACTGCTCAGCAAAATAGTGCACGCTGCTGAATTTGTTGCCATAGATGTTTTCTTACAAATGGAGACGGAGCGTTAATGAGACATGCCATTCTGGTATCAGAGGAATAAGAGAGTCTCAAGGCTGGGCCCAGGAAACCAAGACCTTCCTATTTCAATTCCCCATCAAGTTGACAGGAAGTCACTGGCCTGTGCCTGAAACTTTCCAGGGACACAAAGCTCACTGTTCCATAAAACAGAACATTTAACGTCTAATCAGCTCTGATTCATATAGCAGCCTTCTTTATTTGGGGAAGTATGGTACAGTGGTTAAGATCTTGTTCCTTCATGCGGCTGCCAAATCAATGTGAAATTTGTGACCTGCATCAATAGCTAGATTTCTTGGAGTTTGAAATTTCTCATCTGTAAGCCTGATACTAATAGCACATTGCTTATCATAGCATCATTGCTATGATTTGTTTTTAAATGATTATGCAGTTGCTTCTTCCCATTGCTTCTGGTTACAACCTGGCAACCACATAGAACAGTGGAATTTTTTAAATTGAAAGTCCTTTCAGGTCTGTTCCTAATGCTACTCTTCTCCTTATGCTATCTTTCTCACTCCAAGTTTTCTTATCCAAATACATACAACAGCTCAATTTTTCTTTACGTTCCTCATTGTTTTTCTTTGCTCTGTTTTTTTTTTTTTTACTACTTCTGTTTGTCATTATCCTCTTAGGATTGAATTAATCTTTTTGGTGTTGAACTATCCCAGTGTCCCGGGCTGGTGGGACTCGAACCCATGATCAGCAAAACGAGTCATCAACACTCAGTCAAAATGGCTAGGAATTATTTATTGGCCATGGCATTTGACCTCCACTATACCAAGACAGTGAAGACTAGCAATGAAATCAAATAGCTCAGATCAATAGTGGGGGGAGGGCACTCTCAGGTGGTCAATGGCAGTGAAGCAAGTTACAAAATGTAACTAGCAGTGAGTGATTACAAATGGCATCCAAGCAAAGTAAGGTGGCTGAGCCCAAACAATTTCCTGCAGACATGGGGAAGGAAATGGGGGCTGTACACCCAGCTCCAAGGCCTGGAGGTGGGACAAGTCTTCCTTTGAAGTGCAGATCCTGGCTCTGTGCAGTGTAAGCTAGGAGGGTTCAGCTTTAGCCTTCGGAAAACATTACCTCCTGAAAAGCTTAGAGGTGAGACAGGCCATCCTTTGGAATGCAGATGCTTAGCACAGCCATCCTGGTGCTTAACTCTCTACAAGCCTTGTGTTTGAAATGTAACATTTGGCCCTATTCTTAATCAATACAAATGGTCAGGTGTCCATAACTGTCAGACTGTAGTCTTGTTCTATTCCCAGGGTCTGTACCTGTGTTTCTCTGGTTACCTAGGACTTGTTTGTCTCAGTTAAATTTCCTTCTTCCTTGGTCTAATCACTACCCTATCTGCTTAATTTTGACCTGGACCTAACAATTTCACATTTCATATTCTTTCTTTTGGCAAAATCATCACAGGCGTTAGTAGGATTTGAGCTCAGGTCCTTGCATTTACTAGGCAGGTACTCTTCCAATTGAACCATACCTCCAATCTCCTCCTCCATCATCCATTTAAAACAAAGCCCTCCAACACGAACATGTAAGAGAAATGATCAAACCAGATCAGATGACAAGAGACTCTGGCTGGCCTTAATCAAGTTTCTTTACTTCCACTAATGCAATAATCAAATAAGCTCTGAAAGAATTTCTTCTTGCTTTGCGTTTAGTGTAAGGTATATTAAGTAGGTAGGTTTCATTAGGTAGCCGATGAAGAGAACACCACAAGCTATCCAGGCAGGAAAATTTTATTTACTGAACTGCTGCTCCCATCTTGCATGGTGGAAAGGCATGCCCAAAAGGGGAGACCCACCCCTGGGCCAGGACTTATCTAGGCCAGGGATAGGAAGAGGTGTGGCCAGGTGGGGGAAAGGTGTGACCACACTGGATCTGGATGTGACCTCAGGGTCTGGGACCCTCCTAAGGTCAGATGGGAGGCATGTGACCAGAGGTGGCCCAGGATGTGACCTAGTAGGAGGAGGAGGTGACTGCTTCCAGGTGTGCCAGTTACCTAGGTACCATAGATAAGGGGTGGAAACTTAGCCAAGGGGTAGGGAGGTGTCTGCACAGGACCTGCATGGCCAGGGCAGACTTTACAATAAGTTTGCAATGTTAAGGCCATTCTGAGATGAATAATTTATTTAGAAGAAAATTTTCCAATGTAGAGACAAGTTGAATTCTGTATAGGAAACAAAGGCTTTCAAAATATATTTAGGCTAAAACACATACTTTGAAACCCAAGCAGGTATTGCTAAGGTGACATCAGTCAGTGCCTTGGACTTAAGGCAGCAATCATCTATTGAGCTACCATACATGGTAATGGAGGGAAAGGGAAAGGTGATATAAGATTGAAAGGAAGGCTGGGGCATAGGTCGAGTATGAGGCATGGCTTGCCTAGCACATGTCAGCACCAAAAAATTTAAAAAGATGAAAAGGAAACATGCCTCTACCTATCGAAGACTTGGCAGCTAAGTGGTGAGATTGGTAATACATGGAGACTATAGGGCTAAATATGATAAATATTATGAGAAAAAGAAGTTTTATGGGAGTTCAAAGGGAGGAGGGGAGCTTCCATTTGAGACATCTATAAAGGCTTTGTGAATAGAGTTCTTCGACATGGACCACAAATAAAAATCAGAGTATTGGCAGGAGTGATTTCTGCCAACTTTCCCTTCTAACTTTAGGAATTGGCCCTCCAGGAAATTTATAGTCAGCATCATCTTAAGTCCTTCTTTTATCTTCTAAGGAGATATTTTGGAGAATAGGGATGAAAAGTGTCCATATTGCTGATAGAAACGTTTAGCACCTCCCTCTCACTTGCAGAACAAAATTAGAGCTGGCAGTGGGAATTGAGGGCACCAAATACATAATTTCCTGGTGGTATAATTGCACCAAAGATGTATATAGATTATTTATGGCTATGTAAAAATTTACTATAAAATTTCAGTAGCTTAACACAACATGCACTTATTATCTCATAGTGTCTGAGGGTCAGGAATCCTAGAACAACTTAGCTGGATACTTCTGGCATAGAGACTTTTCATTAATTTGGAGTCAAGCTGTCAGCTGGGCTTGTGGTCATCTGGAGAGTTGATTGAGGGATATGCTTTCAGGAAGGCCTAATCACATGATGGTGAACTATAAGCCTCAGTTCCTTATTATGTGGGCCTCTCCACTGGGATGGCTGAATGACTCCAGGATAAAATACTTGGCTCCTTTTGGAAGAAGAGACTGTGGAAAGAGAGTGGGGAGAGGGAGAAGGAAAAGGAGAGTGAGAGATGCACAGAAATAAAGAGGAGAGATACAGAGACATAGACAGAGAGATATTTAAGGCTTTTATAGCCTAATCTTAGAAGTACTTGTCATTACTTTTACCATGTTCTGTTGGTAGAATGTGAAGAGACACCATGTAAGGGTATAGATGACTTTGGAAAGGCTAGAAAGATGAGAAGAGAAATCCACTAATGATCCAGTGGCGGGAGGGGTTGAAAGTAGTATTTATGGTGATAAGGAAAGACCTAAATGTGGACATTGGTGACAACTGGTGAGAGAAGCTGAAAACAACTCACTTCCTTTTCCTGGATTAGGATTCTTCATTTTTGTGTTTTACTGTGTGATGAAGGAGACTGTGCGGGAGCAATGGCACATACACCTCCATTGCAGGTGGCTCCGACTGGAAAACACATCTGGTAAGCTGCTACACTGGGTAAGATTTTGAATTTTACATGTGTTATGAAACTGATCAGATTGACTTACCCCCTAGACAGTTTCAACAGAAAGAACATCAGACTCCAGGCTGTTTCCATGTTAGGAAAATGGTTTCTGCTTTTGTGTTAAGATAAATAAAGTCAAGTGAAGAACGTTGACTTGGGCTGTATTTTACCCTAGTGGAGCTTGGGTTTTGGCCCCGATTCCTTACATTGTTTCTTGTCTATGTCAGCTCAGTCTTAATTCAAGCACCAGACTGTTGATTGGGTACCTACTGTGTTGCACTAACATCTGGCCAATAGCCAACAGTGGGTGGACTGGGTGTGAGAAACAAGGAGTGATGGTGGCACTGGGAAGCGTTTATTGGTATTCCCAAGGTCTCTGGCCTGCGTACTCTGTGAGCGGTACTTCTGATGGCCCTCTCTGCACAGTCTGTAATGGACTCTAGTTGCCTCTTAGCACTGATGGTTCCTTTGAGGACCAATTCTTCGCTTGCTTCTGGTGCAGGGAAACTGATGTACTATGTACAAAAAGCATCTCCCAGCCTGTTTCTTTTAAGGAAGGCAGCATATGAAATCCAAGATTCTCTAAGTAGCATTAAAGTCTTCCTCTTTAATAATGGCATACCAGTAAACTGCAGGTTCTTCTATTCCATAAAAAGCAGGCACCCTCTGTCAGTGCATCGTTTTTCCTACACCATACATTATAGTATACACTTTGCTTCTCACACGTTTATAGAAAAGCTGATGTCCAGAATGAACAAACACTGTGCATTGTATTTTCAATAGGAGTATTGAGGGAGGTATAAATTACGAATCATAAAGTTCACCTTATTTTCAGTGTAAAATTGGATGAGTTTTATATTTTACCCTTTTGATGTTATTTCAGGTGGGAGCAGCAGACGTGGTATACATGTTGGGTGTAAACAGGAAAGACTGAAGAAAACCTTAGAACACAAATTGCTGACACCATCTCTCAAGTCAATTGCAAGTAGTTGCACTTTCAAATCTATAGGCTCTGCACAAGGACCTCCTTCTGAAATAAGCTTCTCAAATGGTGAGGGGTGAGACTGTGTTGCCTATATTTATATTGATGCTATATTATTGTGACATATGCACTGGGTCTTTGATAGTATTCCTTCATCAATACCAAGTACATATTTGTACTCACACATATACAACCATGTAAGTGCATCATACGTGTACTTTCTTTTTCCTGTGGATACATACATCCAACCCACCCACCACATATATGTCATTCTTGGCTAAGAAAGTGTGTATAAAAACACCTACACAACATAGTATGTACTATCTAATTGGTTGTTAGATTAAGGGAAGAGGTAGGAGACAGGAAGTTAAAAATTCATGAGTAATCAAAAACAATTATCACAAACTATTGAAAGCAGAAAGAACTATAGTAATTTCTAAGTCTAATTATCTCATTGTACAGATGCAGAACTTTAATTAAGGTAAAAAATAACTTGTGAATAGTCAATCTATTAGCTGCAATCTAGAGCCAGAACTCAGGTCCTCTGGATCTCAAGATTATGAAGCCTACCAAAACCATTGAGTTACACATAACTCTGAGATGTTTACCTTCTTCCATAAGAAAGCATATTTCTAGGTAAAGACAGAATACCAATCTCAGTGTTGGAAAGTTTTAGGTCATGTCCTAGCTCTAGCATTAGCTGTGGCCTTGAGTACCTTACCTTTGTGCTTGGCCCTGCATTACTTCTACCTTTAGAATAAGGGGCTAGAATGGATATTCTCCAAAGTGGCTACCAGCTTCAGGCCTGTGTGAGGTAATACTATTTTCCATTTAGACTGGTTGAATATTGCAAGGAGTGTTGGTTCTCTCCCTCCCTCTCTCTCTCTCCCTGTCTCTCTCCTCTCCTTCTCACTTTCCCTATCCCTCCTCCTCCCTCTTCTTCCCCCCTCTCTCTTTCTCTCTCTCATGTTCGTCCTGAGGCTTGAATTGAATTAGGCCTGGGTGCTGTCCCTAAGCTTTTTTCTCAAGGCTAGTGATCTACCATTTGAGAGATGGCTCCTCTTCTGGCTTTTTTGGTGCTTAATTGAAGCTAAGAATTTCATGGACTTTCCTGCCTGGGTTGGCTTCAAACTGCCATTCTCAGATCTCGCTCTCCCGAGTAGCTAGGAATATAGGCATCAGCCACTATTGCCCAGCAGTCTCCATCTTTCTATGGAAAAGTTAGTCATGTATGTGAACAAATCTTTCCCCGGTCACAAGCTTCCATTCAATTCTGGTCCACCAACCCATGAGTGTGTTCTGGTGCTCATTTCAAGGGGATGGGGAGCCATAACATAAAAAAGACCTAGCTTGTGAAAGCATATTAGTAGCCAATATTTGAACTTGATGAACAAATATCATTTTTGGAAAAAGTTTACTTCCTCTGTTGTCTCTGGCGTATACTGGCTCATTAAAAAAAATAAATAGTGCAAATGTATACTTATTTGCCTGCAAAGAAATGGTAGCAAATACAAATGAAAGATGTGACTTGGCTGTGCCAAGTCATAGACCTGGGGAGTCTATGTCTCACATTGCTCATAAATTGTGACTAAGTCAGCCAGTGGGCAGTTAGACAGACACCATAGATTGTAAAACTGAACTCTGAGGGCTACCATCAAACTTAGGTAGTCGGAAGTTTAATCCCATTAACCAGAGTGAGAAATCATGCCTTCTATATCAGCAGGCACTCTATAGCTTAAACTTCTAGTGCAAGTGTACCACATCCCTAAAGGAGGAAGATTTGCTCCTCTGCCTGATGGCCTCTAAGGCTTGGCTGTGAATAGCCTCCCCTAGGTTAAGGTTAAGGTTACTAATCTACTGTTATTGACAGCAGTTATTAACAGTGCTAGAAGAACACACATGGGTGTTATATAAGCAATACTGTGAGGATGAATTAATTTGCACTAAACAAAGCAGCGCAACCTTCACCCCCGCCTTGTAATTATTCCATCGTTCCATGAAATTTTCTTGTGCTTCCATTATGTGCAAAGTCCTTAACGTCCCAGTTGAAATTCTTTTTTTCTTTAATGCAGATGATTTTGATGAAGATCCCTATTGTTTCTCTCCCTTGAGTTGTGAAGTTATGCCTAATTGTTTAAGAAGAATATTACCTGCTGAAATCAAAATGAATTCTGTTCACAAACAAGGATCATTTTCAATAAATCTCAGCACAGATGCTCATCTTCCCCCAACCCTGGACTGGGGAAAATGTTAAATTTGTGAAGTAGTCTACTTCAAAATATTGTTTTGGAAGGGACAGCATGGGATACTGTTTAGTGAATATTAAAGTCAGAATAATTCTATACAAGGTTATAGTTGCGTCTTTCTTAAGATAAGTTGGAACCTATCAAGGATATATTAAAGGAGAAAATTTTATTCAAAATGTAAGTGTATATGTCCTAAAAAAAAGAAAAAGTCCTGCCCTGTCTTGGGCACCAAACTATTTTTGGTGATCAGAATATCAGAATGCCCAACTGCCTTCACATCAACAAGGGAAATAGGTAAGAAGAATCATGACATCATGATTTTTGAGGAAAAATTCTACTGGGTTTGTCTGTTATGGAAAGGATCCTAAAATCCCAATTATTCAAAGATTCCTTTTGATTAAAGATACTTATTAAAATATAAACATGTTTTGAGGGAAAGGTGGCTCATTAATTCACAAATAAGGAATTCAAGGTGGGGACTGATTTCTCAGCCATGACAACCCCACAGGGTATATAGTGAGCAAGTCTCGAGGAGTGTAGCATAACAGAAACTATCTGAAAGTAATGATTATCTCTTGAAAGGAAAGGATAGGACAAGGTTAGAAGGACAGGAAGGAAACAGAGGAGAGAACTATTACTCAAAGCCAACCAGAGTAAGTAAAACTGTAGACTTTGCTAGTTTTGCATTCTGTGACTAAGCATGATAAAAAGGCTTCAGATTCTCATCCTAAACACTACCGCTGACTGAAGTTTCCAAACCAAGCAGGCTATTCATACTTCAGTCTTAGGTATAAAGGTTTAAATAAATAAACATCCTGGAAGGATATATAGGCACTGGTGGTAGCAGCTGATTGCCTTCCAAATGGGGACCTGAATGTCTTGTGGATATCTTGCAAGGGGAAAAAGATTTACTTTTCACTCCCTCTGTCTTTGTGTCTTTTAAGTCTTGGGCTGAAAGAATATATTACCTCTTTGAGCAATAAATAAGTGAATAAAGTTTTAAACACATTCTTCCAATGACAAAGGTAAATGCTTGACTTTGTAAACCATAAATCGAGTTTCCTGTTACTCTGGTGAGCATGTGTGATGCAATGGAAACTACGGAGATAGCAGACCTAGCTACAATCTGGCTGTGAGTTGCTAACTACATCACCTCCAGAAGTAACAGTAAATGAAATGAAACTTAAATGAGATGAAGTCTGAAAATCTTTGAGCACAGTGAAACCATAGTCCTACTTACCACTAACCCTCTCCTGGTCGATCTATCATGTCTGCTCCATTAAAGGTATCCCATTAGATATTCCAAGAAAAAATTAGCACTGGTTACTAAATAGACTGGAGAATGGGCTAGTGTGTTATGTAAAGCTCTTAGGTTCCGATGACCCACAACATTATATTTTAAAAATTGACAGGCCCTCAAAGGGGAATGCTACTGCACTGTTGGTGGGGGTGCAAACTTGCCCTACCACTCTGGAAAGCAGTATGGAGGTTCCTCAAAAGACTAAATATAGAGCTCCCCTATGACCCAGCAATCCCACTATTGGGCAAAAGACCACACTAAAGATACCAGTATAAGTATGTTCATTGCAGCATTATTTACCAGAGCTAAGATATAGAACCAACCCAGATTCTCCCCAGGAGATGAAAGGATTAAGAAGATATGATGTGTATATATACGCAATGGAGTTCTATGCTTCCATCAGAAAGAATGACACTGCCTCATTCATAGAGAAATGGAAAGATCTGGGAAAAAATACATTAAGCAAAGTATTCCAGACCCAAAGAAAAGTAGGATGCATGGTTTCCTTAATTTGTAATAACTAGAATATGTCCATGATAGTCTTTTTTTTGTTGGTCATGAAGGCTTGAACTCTGGGCCTGGGGGCTGTCCCTGCACTATTCAGCTCAAGGCGAGTGCTCTACCACTTGAACCACAGCACCATTTATGGTTTTCTGAGTGTTTTATTGGAGAGAAGAATCTCACAGACTTTCCTGCCTGGGATGGCTTTGAACTCTGATCCTCAAATCTCAGCTTCCTGAGTGGCTAGGATTACAGGTGTGAGCCACTGGTGCCCAGAGTATATGATATTTTTTAACAGATCTCAATAACCCAATTGCTAAGCACATAGGACCATATATAATGAAGCATATCAGCATGAACTCCAAGAGATAGAAACAAGGTTTTTATTATGTCCTGTATGTAGTTAGGGTTTTTTTTGTTGCTGTTTCTCTTAGTTTTCTGTACCTTGTTTCTTGTATATAAGTTTATTCAATCTGTGAGAGGGAAAAGGGATCATAGAAACAGAAAGACAAAGGATGAATTAATACAAAACAGATAGTCATTTGACACTCCAGTAGAAATTTACTCTACAACTTGATGGGGAAAGAATTAAGGAAGGGTAAGTGAGAGAAAATTAGGGATGGAGTAACAGCATTAAAAATAAATGTATGCCAGGCACCAGTGGCTTCATGGCTGTAATCCTAGCTACTCAGGCAGCTGAGATCTGAGATTGTGCAGTTCAAAGCCACCCTGCCCAGGAAAGTCTGTGAGACTCTTATCTCCAATAAACCCTTCAGAAAACCGGAAGTGGCACAGTGGCTCCAGGGGTAGAGCACTAGCCTTGAGCTGAAGGACATCATTCAGGCCCAGAGTTTAAGCCCCATGATCGACAATAAATAAATAAATAAACAAATAAATTTGCTCATTGCGATTATAACCCCTTACTCATCCCTTTTTCAATAAATATTTTTAAAAGAAAAGAAAAAAATGGACAGGCCCTTTATACTCAGAGCAACTATTGTATCAGGATCTTTCCTATGACATTTTTTTGGCAAGGAAATTCTTAACCTATTGTTGCTCATATGGTTTCATACATGTTTTGTGTAGGGGAATGTGAATGGGTGTGAATGAGTTTATCTAGGAACTAACATAATTGTTTTACATGCTACATGTCTTTCAACTAGAAACATTAAATTACCTTCACTCAAAAATAGATGTAATGGGCTGGGAATGTGGCTTAGTGGGAGACGGCTTGCCTTAGCATGCATGAAATCCTGAGTTCGATTCCTCAGTACCATATAAACAGAAACTCAAGTGGCAGAACACTAGCCTTGGGCACAGAGAGGCTCAGGGACAGTGCCCAGGCCCTGAGTTCAAGCCCCAGGACCTGCAAAAAAAAAACAGATGTAATGACAAGACTTGGATGTAATTAAGAACTTGATCATTACAAATGGTTTGACTTGGTTTGGGTTCATTTGACTGTTAAAATTTCGCAGTTGTATTTTTCCAACAAGCAATAGGACTCTGATTATGTTGCTGTCACTGGAATGATGTGTCTAATGACCTGGCAAGCTCAAGAACAGAAACGTTATTTCATAGAAAAGTTCACCTTCTTTCCATGACTCTTGTTAATTAGGAAAGCATGGATTTTCTGTAAAGTAGATGACAGAAGGAGAGGTGAGCAAATGTAATCATTATATATTCTCTAAAAAAATGAACTGTGTAACTTGAGGATAGGGATGGGAAGGGAAAATGGGGGAGCCCAAAAGAAGGGATGGCACTGACCAAGATGTGTGGTATTCATAACCTGACATGGAATTGTAACCTCTTTGTATAACTACTTAATAACATCAATAATAAGAACTTTAAAAAAAAAGTAGATGACAGTTTGAAAATGCAAGATAAAATACCTTTAGTTTAGTATTTGGTGTGTTCTTCCTGGCCCCACAACATGGTTGACACATCTAGGAAGAAAGGTCAGAAAGATTCTAGTAATTATGGAAAAGATGTTCTAGAATCGTTGGGCTGGTTTCAGTCAACAATCAGCATCCCAATCTTCACTGAGCCTTGACATGGAGGGATAGGTACAGACAAACGGCACGTAGCATCCTACCTCCATCAATTGTTTATCTGGGGAGATCTGGCACACATACTACAATAATGACTAATTGTGAAGCAAGAAAGATAAGTACTTTGTACTCAAAAGACAGTACTAGAGTCAGTCAGACTGGGTATGGAGCATTTTGGTGGAGCTAGTGAGGATGAGGTGGACAGCTTTGGGTAAACAAGCCTCCATTTATCACTATCGCAAGCAAATGTTCTTTTTCTGGTCTGGGATGTGGCTCAGTGGCAAAGCACTTTCCCAGCAAGTGCAATGTCCTGGGTTTGATCCCCAGTACCAAAACAGAAAAGATTAAAAAAAAGTTCTTTTTTACTGGAAAATGTTCATTTTTTTATTATCTTTAAGTAGTTGTACAAAGGTAGTGTTATTTTGCAAAGCAGTATATGAATACAAGTCATCTTGATCTGTGTCACTTCCTTCAACAATCTCATCCTCCTTCGACTCACCCCTTCCCTTACATTTCTCAATTATTCACAGCATTCCCCCCTACCTCCTTTTCATTTTCTACCTCTCTCCTCATGGCCCCATCCCCGCCCCCCCCAAGCAAGTACTCATTTGTTAATGATTATTTTGTTGGGCTTTGACAGTCTTCCTAAAAAAATTGTACTATTTAAGTTCTCCATAGTGTCTATTATAATTAAGTTAATTTATTTGGAATTATATACCACCCAGGGTGTTAACTTATAGATTTATAGGCACATTCTATCTACCACTAATGTGAGAAACCATACAATCTTTGTTTCTCTGAGTTTTTCTCACTTTACTTAAATAACTCTTTCCAAGGTTTTCTATTTCCTTATGCATGGTACAATTTCATTCTTTCTAATGGATGAGCAAATGTTCTTTATTAAACACTTGTCAACCAATTTACAAAGCCCCTTTGGAGCTTCGGGGGACAGGTTCTGGCTCTCCATTGTCTGGTTTTTTGTTTCTTTTTTGTTGTTTTGTTTTTGATCACGGGGCTTGAACTCTGGGCCTGGGCATTGTCCCTCAGCTCTTCAGCTCAAGTCTAGCACTCTACCACTTGAGCTGCAGTGCCACTTCCATTTTCTGGTGGTTCACTGGAGATAAGAGTCTCATGGACGTTCCAGCTGGGACTGGCTTTG